GAACCAGGAGGAGGGCGTCAGTTCGTTAATGCTCCAGCGGTGGTACAACTGATCCAGAACCAAGCCTAGCATCTTAGCTTTGCCTGAATCTAACCCTGTCCTCTCTGCTACCTTCTTGTAGAATCCAGGATCCCAAGCCTAGAAACCACTCCAGAGACCTCTGCGCTTTGGACCCCCATTAGAGGCGTTTTCAGTCAGCCTCTAGGAACTAGTGAGGCTTCTGGCCTCAGAACCAAAAGAAGCCCTCCTGCCTGAGCTCACCTGCCTGTCCACCATCTGGTCTCACCAATCGGACCTGCACCAATAGCCTGGACCACTGGACACCATTCTCCCAAACAGACGCCAAGCCTTCCTCTCTGTGAGTCTCACACATCCCTCAGTCCTCTACCTGCACCGAACTGTTTCTCACCTGTCACCAAACCTCTTCCAGCAGTATCCTGACGACCCTGCCTGCCGGACTCCTCTCTGTACACCACAAAACTTCAATAAAACCCTTAACTGATCATTGCCTCCGTGATTGCTCCTGTTCAGAGTCTGAAAACCCAAACATGACAATTTGTATGTTTGTTGTATGAAATTTGGGCCCAGTTCAGACTTTATTATTATTATTAATTAAGACAAGAAAGAAAGACAAATAGGTGAAGTTGAATTAGGTCAGCAGTCTATCAGCTGTGTGGTGTGAATGCTCCTCAGCTGCCTGCCTGAGGGGGGAAGTCTGTGCAGGATGGGCTTTATGCAGCTTCAGGTGTTAGGCTATAGGCATTGTTTACAGGGTTAAAAATAGTCGCTTTATAATAATATTGAACCATTTATATTTATATAAATAATTATTCATATTTTATATATTTATTTATATCAGTAGGATTTAGAAAAATGTGACACATCAAATTAAGCCAGTTAAAGCCAATAAACACGAAGCATACTGGACAGCCTACTGGTATTGTAGTTTGAACATTATTTAGCTCCTTCACTTTAAATTGTCTAATTTTAGTTCCCAAGCTAATATGTAGAGTCTGATACACAATCGTTGAAATAGGACCTGTACTATAAAGAAGACATACAAAAACTAAATAATATGTCACAAAGATATTTCATTTTTATTCCAACTAAAATTATAATCCCTCCTTTATCCTTACATAAGGAAAGGTACAGTAGTTGTTGTATGGCGGTGAGTTTCCAAAAAGTCAAGAAAATCCTGAGACTGTTGGAAATCTATAGCCTACATCTATATCCCTGGGGCACAAAACTAAATTAAGACATATTAACAGGTTACACTTTCCAAAACTATAAAGTTCAGTTTGCTGCTTCTTTTATCTTCTGAAAGACTATCACGCTTCTATGCTAAATTTAACACTGTTGATGCTGCCAGCTTGCAGTGATCCTTCTAGATTAAACTGATTAAACTTAGTTTGTTCTGTTGAAAATCTCTAAAATAAGCTGAAAGAAGAAGGCCAGTTATAAATGTAGGATGATTAGACACGCTCTGAGGGTTTATTAACTTTTCCATATAAATAGTGTGTGAAGGTGAGTGTCTGGCATCCTTAGAAAAAAACAGAAAGACTTGCAGAAGATATAAACATCCATGGGAATCGTCGCTCCGTAGTCAGACACGGCCTTATCCCATCTCAGCTTCACTCACATGCACACACTGCCCTCCTCACACAGGCAAACGTAAATAACACACAACCTCAACCACCACCTCATTTCATAGACGGCTTAGCACTGGCTGCACTTGATATAAAATCATACGCTTCATTTATTTTTACATTATTAAAAAGTGTTTCTAGATGTCCCGTGAAGCATTTAGGGTGTTAAATATAAATACATTTGTGCTTTTCTCTTAGGTTATCCTTTACGGATGGTTATCTTTCTTTTAATAAAATTTTTTTTTTTTTTTTCATTTCTGTCTATGTCCTATAAGTGCATTCTGAAGCGGCGGTCTCTTCCAACATGTTTTGATGCCTCATAATGACAAAAAAGATTATTTATTCTTGATATGGCAGTTATCCACCAGAATGGAGCTATTATAATTACTTAACCTGCTTAAGAAAAAAAACCCAAGTGTCTCTTTATGTTTTAAAAACATTCATGTAGTGTTTTGTTTGGTCAAACAAAATACGTTTTGTCTTTAGTTGAGAACTTGGATGTTAAAGATGAGGAAACTGCTCCTAGGTTTAAATTAATATTTTAGTTTGAACAGTATGTTAAGGTATAAAGGGTTAAAAAAAGATACCCCTTTACTGTACGTTATGAAGTGTTATTTAAAGAGTTTTTCACGAGTGATTTCTTTTCAGGAAAAAGAACCGGACAGAAAGCTTAAAGATGTAAACACAGAGCTTTCCTTTAACGTTATGGTTCATTCATCTTTTGAAGACTATAAACCATTTTAAATCTAAATATATCTGGTATATATCCATTTATGCTTAAACATTTCAGGCTTAACGCTGCATTAAAATTTCTCCCTAAATACAAAGAAAAACTAAAGTGCTTTTTTTATTAAATGAAAATCTTAAGGTTTTTATAAAAACAATCTATACATTTGACATTTTCCTCAGTTTAGTTTTATTGTAAAGTTAAACATTTCTATTTATTTCGACAGGGTTTTATGAAAAATGTGACTGAGGATTACTCGTCTTTGAATTAAGCGCCGGCTGGATTTCACAGAAACTCCATGAATGTAAATAAAGGCGGATCCGTTGCTCCATAATTCTACCCTTCAAGGTGAGCAGTAATATATTAGAGCTGTAAACATTTCTGAAACCAGTCATCCAATTCCAGCTAAGACTGCCGGATTATTCTATCTAGAAAAAAACATATCTACCAAACAAACCCAGGGGGTAGCTAAATAATCACAGGTAATCCAATGGTTCGGGTGAATATCTAGACTACAGAATAAACTGACCAGTTAGAGCTGCTGATGCAGATTTAAACTGAAGAAGAACCCTAAACACTGTTTTTATTTAAATAGAGCATCCATATCTGTAGCATAAAGGAGAGTATCAATGAGAACATTTTATTAACGTAATGATTGAGTTGAGAAATACTAAAGTTTGTTCTTGTTTCATTTTTAGCTCAACGCTTCACTAATAGTGAATATTTCCCCAGCTTGTCTAGGGAGTAAACTGATTGGTAATGCTGTAATATAAATATGCTTTACATTTCTTTCTGATTTAAATTCTGATTGGGCATCCGAACATATTCATAGCAATATAAGACATAGTTGTTAGTGGTATTATTTTCCCCACAGCAGGCAGGATTACATATATATGTCCATTACCCTTGTTAAAGCTCACCTCTGGCCATCCTGGATGACTCATTCACATTTTGTGGAAATTCACTCATTTACACTCCTTTTCTTGTCAGGGTCACATGTTTACCCCGAGGAGAATTTAGCCAAGCATTTTCTGGGTTTCATGACAAATGAGGCATAGAACGGCTAAACTAATGAGAAGAAATGCAGGAAGAGCAGGGAGACTATAGATGCATCTCAATGATTCAGAGTAATGGAATGTTATTGCCATTCTAAAAGAGAGGAATACATTACATACATGCAGAGTGGTATATTTCAAGCCTTTCTTGGAAAATGATATGATGTGCGAACAAAAGGAAAAAATCATGTGGTGTAACTGCGTATTTAGTGTGAAACACTGCTGTCCTGACAGCAGTCAAGCTGCCAGTCATTAGCATCATCTGCAAGGAGTGTGAGCAACAAACAGCTACTGGTGAATAAGCTGGTACTTCACAGAATGCTGTGGAAAAGCATTAAAAACGTTTAGTGGAAGGAAAGTATGTGAAAGCAAAAAGTGAGCCAGTAACGGAAATAACTGCAGTTTTGAGGGAATTGTGAAGCAAAGTTTCAAAGAGGTGGAAAGTGGCCAGAGTAATAAGAGTTTTTTTCTGGGATTACCGTAATTTCCAGACTATAAACCGCTACTTTTTCCCATGCTGTTTATACGAAGATGTGGCTTTTCTGTGGATTTTTCCTAACCGCCAGTGGGGGAAGTCACAGTTGGAAATGGAAGAAGGTGCTAATTTTAAGTTAGCACAAGAACATGCTAGCAGCAGGCACGACAAAGAAAAATTGTCTTGAATTCACACTTTTTGAAATGTATTTGCCACATTAAAGCTGCCATACCAATGAATAGACCGGGCTCTACTCCTGCAAAGCATAAAGAGCAGACAAAGCCCCATCTTTCAGTAGACGCTCTTACTGCTGTGAGCCAACAAGCTAGCGGGAGTTAGCATTCTTCTGCGTCCCTTGATTGTGATATGTAGAGCTCCGCCTACAGGTTTGTCGGGACCATCCAGTTGATATCATTAGCTAAACGGCAGATGGCCGCTCACACTGAGCCTGGTTCTGCTGGAGGTTTCTTCCTGTTAAAAGGGAGTTTTTCCTCTCCACTGTCGCTACAAGCATGCTTAGTGTGAGGGATTGCATTCAAGTCAATGAGTCGATGCAATCAACTGGTTTTCCTTGGATAGAAAACTTTGAATCAATCTGACTGGATGATCTGGTGAACTGTAAAGGGCCTTGAGATGACATGTATTGTGAATTGGCGCTATATAAGTAAACTGAATTGAATATAAATAATTTTCCCGTTTTTTCAAAAAATGTTGTGGCAGCAGCTAATAGTAAGGTGTGCTCTATAGTCCAGAAAATATGGTAGTTCAAAAACAGAGTGATTAAAAGTTCTCTATTAAGAAGAACATAAAGAGTGGAGCGCAACAAAAACAAGGTTAGTGATGCTCGATGGAGGCATGTTGTCTGCTGGGTTTGGTCCAAAGTGTTTTATCTAATCCTGCTATAGAACCATCATCCTTCACTTTCCTGACAGAATGTATGGAGATGCTGATTTCATTTCCTAAAATGACAAAAATGCTTGATTAGGCATCAGAACCAGCTGCTCTAAATACAAGAGAATTCATAAAGTATTATCAACAAATATGAGAAACAACAGAGCAACTACAATATTGAAAGACTGATGACCCCTACTAAAGCAACTCTACCTTCCCTAAGTTCCATTTGAAGGTGGAAGTCAGATTTAAATCAAGCAGGCTCCAAGAACACACTCAACTTCATTATTTCAAATGAAATGACAAAAAAAAATCAATAATATTCTGCTGTATTTAGATGCATGCGTGTTTCATATATCCCATAATGATTTCTTTTTCCTTGACGTTTAATGAACAGCAGCTCTTTATTTCTCTGCCTTTCTCACAACCCCTCACATTTTCAAGGACCTTACTTTCTGCTATTCTCTTTGATTCATACATCCCACCACTGCCTTTTAAAACGTTATCTTCGTCACTCACACATCTCTCCCAACGTCCTACTCTCCGTATGTTTCTTTATTTCTCCCCTTATTTTATTTTTTCAAATGCATGACACATTGTTTCAGCCTTCTGGGAAATTTGGACATCTTCTCAGACGCAAGCTGGCAGAACCAAACGGGAATCAGAAGGTCATGTTTCACCACGACATAGGGAGCTGTACAAACAGATAGAGATCCTTTACGGCAGCATGGGTGATGACTCCTGGAAAAGTCGGAATAAAGCAGGCCTATATGTACATATCACCTGCTTTAGTAATCCGAAATGAAAACAGGTTGGCTTGCCTTTAAAATCCACTGGATTCATTAAATGCATGGAACAAGTGTTCCTTCAAATGTTCCTGGTAATCCATTTTCTATGTACAAAAACTGACGATTTCCAATCCTTGGTCATTGATCCAGGATGTTGAATTTGTGTTCATGGTTCAGAGCTACCTCATTCATGAAGATTCAAGCCAGAGAGGCAAGAAAATAATCCATCAGTAGATCACAGATACCACTTTGTTCCCCATTTCCACTATATACAACCACCCTAATCAGCTGATGTGAGCAAAAATATACAGTTACACTTGTCATGTGTGGGCAGTGGTTTCAGACTCTTGGAACTGAAAGGCTACAGGAAATGAAAGTGCTCCTCTGCTGTGTTTCTATCTTTCTGATGGTGATTATAATGGTTGGGGATCTAATTCTGAATCCTCTCCAGCTGATAAGAGGCAGTCTAGCTGCTGCAGTGGACAAGCTGGCTCAGGTCAATCAGAACCCTTAAAAACATTTGATTAAGACAAAAACAAATCTTTCATACTTTTGCTCCATTCCAGGGTTAAAGCTGCAGTTGTGTTGTTAGAAGTTTTAAAGTGGAGTCAATGCACTCTGTGAACTCTAAAAAACTCTAAAATGTTTATCTTCTGTCAGACTTTGCTCTTCTTTCAGTGTGCACAAGCAGCTATTACATCATTTTCCTGCCCCCGCAACTGTAAGCGGGCCTTGCTAGCAGTACGCCAGCAGTCCACGGCTTTCTTTCCTCCTTTCATGTTGCTGCCGCTTCTTTAAACCTCAGATGCTTGTCTGCAACTCGCCGTTAAGCAGGGCTGAGTTATGAGTCTCCAGGTTGGCGTTGATTAGCATGGCTTCGTTTACCATCCTGCTCCTGTCCGCCCTGCTGTCGCTGCGCTCTATCTCGTCCAGGCCGGCCACCTTTTTCAGACACAGAACATTCTGAAAGCTCTTCTTAAAGTTATCGGACAAAAAAGCGTAGAGGATGGGGTTGGCGCAGCTGTTGGCGTAGGCGAGGGCCACCACGAAGTCGAACGAGGTCTTCACGGCTGAGGTGGGCATTATGGAGCCGGTTACGGAGGTGACGTTGAAAATGTAAAAAGGCAGCCAGCAGAGGACGAACACCGCCACCACGATGGAGACCATCCGTGTCACCTTCCGCTCCGAACGCTTCCGCTTCGAGGAACACACACGCAATCCCGATGATTTCACCTGGTTAAGAGGACAGGAAACGGTTTAAAACTGGAAAAATACAACCATTGTTCACACTCAAACAGTACAGAGTGATAGGAGTAAGGAAAGTAGAACATCAAAACAGTTTCATGCCAAATAATCTTTTAAAGTAAATGTGTTTTAATTGGATCTGATTTTATTTTAAGAAACATTTATAAAAACATTTTCCTTCTGCTTTACGGTTCTGTGCTACTTAGCATTAGTTTATCACTTAAAAGCCCAATAGAACCCAGTTAAATATATGGATGCAGCATGGAAATATAAATTGATAGTTTTAAAAGGCGCTGAGCAAGATATGATCTAAATGGTCAAATGCAAATCATTAAAACCTGGTTTACATTATTTAGCATTAGTGATGATTTCAAAGAGGCCATTTGCATATTTAGCACAGATGTGCCTAATGTACCTTCCAACAAGTACTGTACAACTTCATTAATTTAATCCCTGAACCGATAACAAAGTTTTATGATTAATCTCCTGTTATAATATACAAATAATCTAAATTAAATGCTTTGACTTGAGTCCCCCAAAACACAGACTGGCTTTCCTTTCTTCTCTGATACACGAAATATCACATGGAAAAAAGAGGCAGAGTTTCTGGGAATTGCTTATTTTTAAAACAGTATTAATTCATATTAGTTCAGTTTAGTTTAAATGGAACTGACTTATAACTAAAATCCTCTCGGGGGCATTTAGTGGACGAGGAAAGCAAACATGGTCAGTTCAAATCCTGGAAAATCCAGTTCAATGCAGTTCACCTGACCCTTATCCAGCCACTTAATTTCATTCCAATCTGATTATAATCCAATCCTATATAGCGATGTAAGCCTTAGCAGCCTGTTAAAAAAAAGGTTTGGGGGGCATCTAATTTAAGAGCCCAGCAAAAAAAAGAAAAAAAAACTTAATTTGAAGAAGAATCCCCATAAATCGATTCTTCCACAGGAGAGCAGTTATTATGATTAAAGTAATATTGCTTAAGGGTTTAAATATTCCGGCAAATCAGGATTGATTTAAGATTGATTTATGTTTGACCAGCCTTAAAATGTCACATAGACCTCCATAAAAACGTATAACAAAGCCATCTTTGTATTTGCACTTTTGGAAATAAAAATACAGTTTGTCGATGATTAAATAAAAGCCAGTCCAACCTGTCAGAATGATGAATTTAAACCTTTCAAACATGTTTCTTTAAGTTGGCACAGACAAAAGAAAAAAAAAAAGCTTCTGCAAAATAAATGTTGCTTACAGCTACCAGAAGAAATCTAAAGAAATCAACTGTTTTACACGACTCAATGACAGAGGAAAGGAATTATTTTCAGTTGTAGGTGACTTTTTAAAAAAGGCACCTCCTCATAAAGAAAATAATTTTCATCCTTATTAAGACATCTGACTCAGCTGCTTTACAAATCAATCTTATTTCAAGGATGTTTTCCAACAATGATGTTCTGCTCTAAATAATTTTTTTTTTCTATTAGTAGAAAGGACAATAAGCCACTACTTTCCTTTTCTCAACATACTAGTATACTAGACAAATGCATTCTAATGAATGTTAGACTACCTTGTAAGTGATAAAATACCTGTTGGATTTCATAACAGTTTGTTCATTATATTAATAGACAAACAAATCAGAAAAACAGCTAAAACTGGTCAGGGTTTAATTTTGAGTATAATTCCTACCAAAAAAAAAGGTTTCCAACCATATAACGACACTTTTGAGCTTATTAATTACTCAACTCTTTCTGGCTGACTGACAATGAACTGCTAATTTTTTTTAAATCCCAGCAAACATGACAGTTTGCTTTGTTAGAACTGTTCCCTTGTTTTAATCTTTCTGTCCAGTTATTTGTCCAGAAACTAACTTAAAGCAATTAGCAATTTAGCTAGTAGCTTAAAAACACCAAGTGTAACCATTAACTGGTCAACTTGGACATTACAATGTTATAGTTCCGCATTTTTCCACTGTGGAAATCTTTTCGCACAGTTCCTTTTCCAGTTTAAGTAGATGAAATGCAGTTCATCTAGATCGACAGGGGGTCCGCCACCCCTAGGGGGTCCATGGAGGTACTGCATGGGGGTGAAAACGTGGAAGACCCCTGATCTAGATAATTGTAGCCCCATTTACACTACCCTCTGAAAAACAACAAACAGTTCCTTATGACTGTTTAGACACCATGCTATCACGGTTCCTTGCCTCCTAGTGGCAATCTATGGTACTACTGCTGTCTAAAGGTAAACAAACAAACCAACATGGGGACACCCATGACATTCAGGAAGTTTGCTAAGATCAGGCGAAGAAGGCAGCCTTTGGTGAATTTACTTGACAGATTCTAAGCCACTTATGGGAAGTGGATACGACAAACGATAGTCCAATCAGGGCTTACGGACATGCTCTTTGTTATCTGAGAACCGAGCCAGAACTGGACCACACCGAGCCCTACTGATGAACTAGTACCATGTTAGCGCGGTTTGGTTGTGTCTGGCGTGGTCCAGTTCAGTTGTGCATTCCATTTACACTAAACGATTATCTCAGTTACCATGCTTGGACCAATCTCGGCACGGTTTCAGAAGGGTAGTGTAAATGGGCCTTCTGTATGAGATTTTTTTTTGTCTGGTTTAAGCGCAAATGTTTATATATTGTCTATTTATGTTGAAGAATCTTTACTCTTATTTAAAATTCAAGAGGTGTGATTTAAACTTTTACCCCTCAAAAATATCTGACTTATTATATTGCTTAAAAATGAAACAATAGCCTTTCATTTGAAAGAGCAAGATTAGTTTAACTTAAGACACAAACCAGTTGGAATGACCAGATTTTTCATGATTCTACTTTCCTGGTATGAGTCTTCCTGAAAGTCTGTGTGCTTACAGGAGCCAGAGCATGAGAGTTAAAAAAAAGATAGATATGAAGCGTATTAAATATTATAACAGTTCTTCTCACCTTGATTATAATAAGCAGGTAGCAGAGACATATCACAGTCAGCGGCATGAAAAATCCAATGGAGAAGGTGTAGAAAATGAAGATCTTGTAATAGAGGTCCTGGGGTTCAGGCCACACTATCCCACAAACCGGCACCTTGTTCAGGCCACTGAAGATCATTGTTGGTAGGTTAACAATCAGTGAAACACCCCATACAGTGACGTTGATCAGTTTGGCGATACGGGGTTTCCGCCATTTTGTGGACCTAATGGGGTGCACCACAGCCAGGTACCGATCGATGCTCATCACCATCAGACAGAAGATGCTGGTGAACTGATTGAGTGAGTCTGTTGGAGGTAAGAGGGGGGGATGATCAGAGAAAAGGGGAAGAAGAAACATTTCTGTTATGTGGTACAGGCTGAATAATTATAATAACTATGTCTTAAATTAAAATAGATTTCAAGCGACTAGTTGATCCTTTAAATCTGATCTACAGCAACATTCTGATAGATTCTTAGCTTGTAAAGAGATCTAGTGAAATTTCAAGCGACTAGTTGATCCTTTAAATCTGATCTACAGCAACATTCTGATAGATTCTTAGCTTGTAAAGAGATCTAGTGAACTTCTGGGGTACCTGGTAGACAACTAAACTTGTAAAGGACTGATAAACAAGATATAAATGACTTGCATGCACTGTAGGAATAAAGCAACCTAGCTCACCTGTAGCCAATAAAGACCCTGAACTCTTTCATAGTCTCCTATTGGTAGCAAACAAAGGGCTTTTTTAAAGTCTTTTTTAATTTATTTTTAAGCATTTAATCCTGAATAAAGGTCCTAAGAAAACTAAAATGGGATGATTTAAACTCCAGTCCTCTGCAGTCGTTGTCTTGCAACTTTTAGAGGTGTCTCTGGTACAACACATAAGAATCAAAAGACTGAATTACCTCCTTGTGATCTAGCCAAGGCCCCAACCTGAATACCTCAGATCGGTGAGGACTCCTAAAGCCACAGTGTGTAACAATCACAGGGATTTACCGACAGAAAGGTAATATACAATACATAAGTGGGTTATTATCATCTACGAACTGAAAGTCTAAATCTTTTTTGCAATTTAGAATTACATGGGAGCAGGTCTCATGTTTAGCCACTGGCTTGCTCTCAGAACCGTCAAGCTAGTGGCTTTATAGTTCACCATTACGCACAAATAGATCAGACTATTTGATTAAAATCCCAAGCTGTAGCTTTAAGCCATGATGGAAGTGCACAGAGTTCACCATAGTAACTGTTATCCGAATAGTGCTGCAAGTAAGGAAGGAGCTAGGACCAGGATACAGGATACCTCCTAGCATCAAAGCAACTATCACAACCTATTCTCATTATGAGTGCATGTGAAATCGTACGAAAAGTTATGCACCGTAATTTCGTACGT